TTGAGCTGCATTCGTGATTCGCGATTCGAGAAGGTGCCAGACAGCCAGCCCACCATAGCTGGCAGACAGGCATGTCCATGCGCTACACTGCTTCCGAATTCAGCTTATTGCATGCTTGCTTGCTTGCTCAAACTACCACCGTGCGCCGCGCCGCGTCTTTGCTGTGCGTACGCATGCACGGGCGGGGGACTGACACGTCTACAAGTTCATCAAGTCACGATCAGTGCATGGGGCCCAACGGCGGCGCATACGTCGGGCGCCCGTGCGCGAAATAACAGCTGCAGAGGAACGGCCACGTGGACCGTGCTGCTCATGACTTGATTGCGACGTCCTAGACTTGATTCAAGATTGCCTTCAATCCAAGCTTTGAATCAATTTGAGTAATCGTGAATGTCGTGTGCGAGTTGACTCTTGAGCAAGTAAGCTTGAGAGGGACGTTTGAAATTTGTCCTTGTTTGCCAACGAAATCAATGGCTATGTGGATTTAGGTGCATTGTGATTCGTGATTGCCCGGAGTGTTGTCAGCAGCGTGAACTGCGTGGGAGATTCACGATTACTATCATGTATTGTGTTTCCCAAGCTGATCGCGCTGTCCGACTACATGGTCCAAAATCTGGCCATACAAGGCATTCACGAGATTTCGAAAGACAGCTTGGAAAATCATTCGATCCAGAGCTAGTCAGTCATTCTGATGCTCGATCAATCTCCAAGCGTTTAGAACAAGGCGATTCTGACATTCTGCGCGATCTTGGACCTGAGCTGATCGCAGATCAATAGCCTGACAGTTTCATCCCTCGTCTCAAATCCCTCCAAAAGACCTCTTTCTTTCTCATCTCTCCACGTCACGTCCAGAACCAAGAGCTGCAATTTGGACAGATCCAAGGCCGAGGCGGGCTCTGATTCTGCTGAGTGGGAGTTCTCTGTTTCGAGAAGGGCGCGGAGACGTTGAGGTGTACCTGCTGCGAGTGGAATCTTGTTATCTTTTAGCCATTCGACGTGTTCCTTGAGCTGATGAGCCGAGCAGAGAAGAAAGTCAGAGTCCGTGATCACAAAATCCAAATACAGATGTCTGCCATCCTGCTTACGCACCTTGAAATGTCTAGCGAACAACTTGGCCACCGTCAATTTGCCTCTCTCAGCCTTGCACGAGGCTTCTCGCTTCTTGGCTGATTTGTTGCTCTTTTGCTTCTGACCTGCACCGCTTGACTCTTGACTCTTCTCTTCTGGCCCAGCTCGAGAACCGAGAAAGGCTCTCAAGCTCCTGCACAGATCTGCCGCGCGCATCGCATTGCCTGTTACGACCAGGCAAACGGGTTGCGCAGGCTGAACCTCGTGCGCTTGCAAATTGTCGAGAATGGCTGCGGTGCTCGGAGAGACTGATATGGATGGATGCGTTGCGATTAGCTCGATGGTAGGAGTGCCGATGCAGAGTGAGGGTCAGAAGCCTACACGCTGACTCACCCGCCCGAATAAACTCCACCAACGTATCATCAGTCCTCTCTTGCACAAAATCTGTGGTCTCCACCAAATTCTTCTCTGTTTCGCGTCGAGACAGACTCTGAGCATGAGTTTGCGCAATGAATCGCGACCCAAACGATCCAAGCTGCAGCGCGTTCCTTACACCACTCACGACTGATTGCGACCTCATTCAGTTCCAAATCGCTCTGCTTTTCCAGGAACTTACACTTGCGCATCACTTTGCGCAAGTAGTCAGCTTGCAAATCGCAAGGTAGTCGGCCAGGTCCTCCTAGCGCGGTCATCTCAGACCTGACCTCGTTGCGCTTGATGGGCAAACCGCATTGCCAAAGATCGATGAAGGAAAGACGCAATAATGTGTATGTGAGCAACAGCATACGCTACGCTGCACGTGGCAGAGGCAGTTATGGAAGATTGCCTGCTCTCATGTGTACATGCTATAATTCTCACCTGCGCTTTGCGAGCTTTATCTCTCGCCTTTTGCTTTTGCTTCTTTTTGGCCTTCTTGGCCACCTCGTCCATTCCTTTCCCACTCGCATCGGCAGAGCGCTTGCGCTTGGAAATGAGAGCAGCGCGAGGTTCATCAGCCGATTTAGGTCCTGCTTCATCCTGGTCAGAGCCGACGTCGAGAGTAGCACCCACGACTGCGGGCGATGGAGAGGTGGATGCTCGATCCAGGTACTCGTCATCATCCAAAGCATCCGCCATTATTTCTCGTTCTTCCTTGCTGAGCAGTCAGATGAACTGCGTCAGGCGATTCTCGTGAGGCCTATCTCGTCGACTTTGTATGAACGGAGGGATTGAGAAAGCGTCAGAGACTTACGACTGCCCCATCATCAACCATACGCGTGGCTTTGTGCGCACCGCAAGAAGAAACGTGGCTGTGCGCATTTTTCGTCTTGAGCGCGTGTAGGCGGGGCGCTCAAGTCACGTCACGTGGTCGTGATCACCGCCTTCTGGCAGGCTGGGGCGCGTGAATGCTCGCGTAAGGCTCGTACTGTATGCGCACGCAGCAGCAAATGTGCACGACCCACCACCTGCCATTCACCCTCAGAAGGCCATACTTCTTCCGCCAAGCTCTCTCATCGCATCTGCTTGCAGTCGAGAATCATTATCGCAATTATTCTGGGCAGAGGTAGCCGTCGCTTCTTTCGCCCCTCTTGCTCCTCTTCATCCAAGCTATCACGCAAGCTCCAGCTCAAGATGTCAGTAAATGACGCCTCGTCCAGCAGCACCACCTCCCTAGTGGAGGACCAGCGGCGCATTCCACTCGAGGCGATACACACGCAACCCATCGCTCATTTGCACCTCATCGCTTCCTCCGCCCTCTCGCTTCGACCCCCCAAAGAGCTGTGGAATTGGGGAGGTACGTTTCGAGCCAGACCTCGGTTGATATTCGATCCCGTCAATGTGGAGCAATGTTGCGCGCTCGTGGAGCTTGCAAGAAGGGAGGGAAAGGAGATAAGAGCGGTTGGGAGAGCGCATAGTCCTGGAGACTTGATGTGGACAAAGGATTGGGTCATGAGGATGAAAGGGTTAGAAGGTCTGGTAAAGGTGAGCAGGCCTCGTGCTTGTAGCCCTGCGAGCTTCCGCAACTGAACCGCCCGGTCGCGCCTTTGCAAGATCGATCAAACCGTTCCCAGCATTACTGTCCTGAGCGGAACGTACGTGTCTGCGATACATGAGATGCTCGCAGCAGCCGATCCTCCACTGGCCATGAGCAATGTGGGATCCATTTCAGAGCAGACCATCGGCGGATTGATCTCCACAGCCACGCACGGCACAGGTGTCGACATGCCGCCCGTATCCGCCCTGATCCTCTCCATGCGAATCATCGTCGCCTTGCCATCCCATCAAGGTGGCGTACAAGTGGTGAAGTGCAGCCCCACCGAACGGCCGGACTTGTTCAACGCTACACTGTGCGGATTGGGATGCACAGGGTTGGTGGTTGAAGCAGAATTAAAAGTGGAGCCGGCTTTCTGCCTGAGACAGGTGGCGGAGGAGATGCCATTCGACTTTTTGTTCGGCCCGAGCACCGGTGCTCCAAGCGTCATCGCGAAGGCTTCGCCTGCACCATTTCGTCCCAATGCTTCAAATCGCACCTCCGCAACTCCGACTACCCCGACCGAAGTCACAGCATTCCCAGAGCGACACATCGACACGCTCTCTCGTGAGAGTCTTGGTCATTTGTTAGCTCAAGGTCGACGCATTCCCACAACTCGGTCTAAATACCAGCCCAGCGTGCGCAACGAGGTTACCGGAGCAGTTTGGCCTGTACCTTCATCATCGGTGGACAATGTCTCGCGACTAGACCCACCAGATGAGGATGATGATGAGGAGACCAGATCCGCTCAGCGCAGAATTAGCACCATAGTCAACAGCACGCAGCACGCCAAGATCATGTACTGGCCTCAGGCGCGTATGTGCACCTTGTTCAGGCAGGACCGAACGTTCGAGGTGAGTGTGAAGAGCGCCTTTGATCAGCATGGTAGGCTTGCTCAACATGGCGCTGACTGATGCCGCTACTTACGCACAGCCGCCTGTGCAAGCCACCCTGGCCAGCAGAGTGTACGGTCGGTTAGTGGGACACGACCTGGCACAATTCCTCCTCTTCGTCTCGCGCTATCATCGCTCGCTACCACCACGAGTAGGCAAGCTGGTGTTCAACCTCACGCACCCCTCCCCTCCACGAAAACACAAATCGCATCTGAACGCTCACGGACAGGCCGGCTTCTCCTCTGCGGGCAATCCAACCTCTGCAACACCCTCCCTGGCGCCATCCACCGCTCGCAAGAGGTCTACACCCACCACTAAACTCCACACGAGCCCGAACTTGAGTAGCGATGGGACCCCCGTGGGCGTATCCGCTGAAGGACGTGTCGCGGAGGAAGGCGAACACGTGCATGGGCCGTCGCAGCAACGTTCCCGACGTGAGAATGAGGTCGAGAGTGCCGGCGGTGCGCCAGCGGGAGTAGCGAGCGTAGGCCGTACGACCGAAGAAGATGCACCAGAACCCTCTAGTAGCTCGGCAGACGACTCCTCGCCTCACGCTTCGGCCGGAAATGTCATCGCTGCTGCCGAGCTGGGAGCAAGGGTTGGGGCTCTCAGGACGGCTGTCAAAAGAGGAGCAGTGGATCGACCTGGTCTGCCCGCGCACCAAGTCTCGCTCGAAGATTTCCTCTCTGGGGCTTCTACTAGCGCCACGCCGTCCACCTTTTCACCAATCATCTCTCGATCGAACGTCGCGCCATCCTTTGGACAGGGCGCAGGAACAACAACGCGAAATCTGGGCGTCCATGCGCCTCTCTCCTCCAATCACGCGACCTATACGAGTGTGAATACGTCCCACTTGGTCTTCAATATGGATTGCCTCTTTCCTCAGTACACGACCGAGTGGGCGATACCTTTCGAACACACTGCTGCAGCCATTCGCGCACTTAGAGACTGGTTGGACGCGGAGCAGGCGAATAGCGATGGCGAAAGACCGCATTTCCCCGTGGAAATTAGGTTTGGGGATGCGGATGGCATCTGGTTGAGTCCGAGTCAGGGCAGAAAGACGTGCTTCATCGGCTTGATCCAATTCAGGTGAGTCTCGACTTTTGATTTTCGGGATGCAGGCTTCAGCAGTTTCTCTCGCGACGCCAATGACCTTCATTGCCCCATGCTCGACGCTTTTCTGACCCTTGTATTGCTTGTCATGCAGACCTTACAATCGTCCGACGCGCTACCGCGTCCTGTTTGAACGCTTCGAAATCCTCATGCGCTACTTTGCAGGTCGACCGCACTGGGCCAAATCGCACACGTGCGGCCACGCAGAGCTCAGAAAGCTATATCCTCATCTTGACGATTTTTTGAACCTTCGACGGAATGTGGATCCGGATGGAGTCTTTTTGAATCCGTATGTCAGGAGGCACCTGCTCGGAGAGATCGGCCAACATACGAACCCTAGGTTTTTCAAGGCCAGGCTTTGAGGTTGCCTACGACATTCGTCCCGAAGCCGGGTGTCTGTCTTTCGCTTGGCCAATCCATCTTCGCGTTGCATAGTGTGCTCGAGTCGACGGCCGACCCAGCAGGTCGCGCTGATCGCAGAAGTCACTTGTGCGATTGCGCTCGTCTTTCTTGCTCTGGCTGTATACCCCATTTGACATGGCAAATGAGACGAGTCTCTGATATTTGATCAACCGATGACTTCTGACGCTACTCTCGTGCGCCAAGAAAACTATGGAGATAGAGACGCTGGTTAGTATCAGGCGCGATGGACGAAGTGAAGAGTAGTTTTGCAAGGATGCATTGCTGAGGTGACGGTGTTCGAGACTGGAGCTATTCACCCTTGGCACAGAATGTGCTCTGCGATGCATACGAAAGAGCTTCACACTTCTTCAATACATCAAGACCGTGCGCACGAGTTCCTTAGCAGACGATGCAATTCGTCGAGTTCGTAGCCTCGCCGGCCTCATAGATGTGAATGTCGCCGCGTGCCTACGGGTCAATAGGTCAAGCACAGATCAGTCATCATGAGGGCCGATGGGGATCATAGGCAAACAACCCACAGTGATCAATTCGGCGCTATCTCCTCGCGTGCCTCTAGTCCCCTCTACAGCTTCCGCTTTCGAAGCAACCTCGTGCGGTCCCAAGTGCATCGAGCTCCTGTTGCTGGCCGGAGCTGAGCCGCTAGCAGATTGGGGTTGAGATGGTTGCTGATGATTATTCTTGACCTTTGTCCATCCTGCAGATTTCAATCGACCAACTCCTCGATGCTTGTGCTTCTCTCCCAATTCTTCGTACCGTTCTTGAATAGCCTTGGACAGTTTGAGTTTGCCCGTCTCTGTTGACCAGCTAAGCATGCCAGAAAAGGATGGCGGAAGGAGGAGGTGCACTGAGAAAAGCAGCGCGGGGAACCTGCATGTCAATGCAAGCGCTACATCTGCCAGCCAGGCATCGAATGCCTCACCATCTCCCGATTTGGACTTGAGACGGATCGTCAGCGGCGTCGAGAGCGTGTATTGCGGCTACAGCAGGGGGGGAAAAATGGGTCCATTTGAGAGGCCAGCCAAGCTGGCAGCGTGGGAGATCAAGGAGAGCGAAAGCTGCACGAGCTTGCGCAATCGACTCACAATGGCCACTCTGACGCTGCCCATGTAGCTCTTAGCATGGATGCCCACCGGTCTCCTCTTCTCCGTCGCTCCACCAACCTTGCGCTGACCGACGACCTTCTCGCTCTGCAAAGTCAACTGTTCCAAATTTTCATTCTGCGCCGCTTCCTTGACTTTAGCATGCGCCTCCTCATCTCCATCTCCCTGAACCACCACCGTCACATTGACAGGACTGCCTCTCCCTTCGAACCAGGCGGAACTGGAACAATTTTCCAGCTGCGTATCGCATGGACGATCGTAAATGGGAGGATGAAGATCGGCTACGAGTGGAGAGATGCAGTAGATTCCCTTGATGGATTGAGAAGGCTGCTCGATGCGAATGTGTCGTGCCACCTTTCGACCTGCCACTTGCTTGGCTGTTTCGAGCGCTGTGAAAGCCCACGGAGGCAGCGCGTCTTGCGTGGAAGAGCTCATCCTCGCTTTCTGCTGCTGCTGGTGTGCGGCTGGATGATGTCTGCTTGTCGCTCGCGCTGGAACGAAGGATGCTTGCACCTCAGCCTATGGAAGCAGACTGACTTGAATAGAGAAGGCGTTGGCCTTCCCCAGCTCGCGGCTGGATCTGGGCTTTGCTTGATTCAGCTCTGGATGGACGAGATTCGAGCTGCGCTTGGACACGGTTCACCGGCTTGCTTGGCTGCGGTAGGCGCAGTACAGATTGTGAGCTTTGCTGACGCTCTCAAGCGCAAAGGCTGGTAGGTCTCGCTGTTGTGTTCACGGGATGAAGGAGTGATCGAATGAAGCAGCAATTTGTCGAATGATGTGCGATCAAAGAGAGCAACACCCATGGCTCTTCACGCCCGATTCCTGTTTCATCAACCCTCCAACCCGCCTGGCGGCCTCATGTAGACCCAAGCTGCACACCCCATTTCACTCGCTCGCATTCTCGTATACGCTCGCCCTTTGCAACCTCCGTCCCGTTCATGACTGCTGACACTTGACATGTACCACGCCAACGCTGTAGCTGGAGAGATGAAGAAGCCACTTAGGGCAGCAGAGTGCGCATGCAGCAGGGGACTCGTGACTACACAGCGCTCGGCAAGCCACACCCGAGAATGAGTGTGAATTTGAGGGGTGGGTGCATGGGTCATCAGCATGTACTGTACACGCCACCTTCAAATCTTGGCTTTTTCGCCCGAACATCGCCGCTCTCGGCCGCTGCCAGTGTGAGTCTCGAGCAGATGCATTTGATTCATGATTCACGATTGCAGCTAGCTGACTGATGCTGCTGGGAAGCGAGCGGGCCATGACGTCGCTGTGCGCTCCCCAGCTTTCCGCGCAGCAAGCAGATCACGATCCACATGCCCGTTTCACATGCACCACTGCTGCTGCTGCATGCCGATTCAGCTCTCCACATGCCCGGACGCGTTCGATTTTGACAGCTCGAGCTAGGCAAGACGTACTTGTACGAGCATGTCGTCGACTCAGCGCGCTCACACGACCTTGCCACGCCCTGCTCGCAACAAAAGCCATGAATTCGGTCTGATACAGATGTGGTTCCTGTAGGAGGGGAGCACAGGGCAGCGTCCAAAGCGCATTCCGAGACTCAATGAGAAAGGCACCAGAGGTCACCTCGATTCCGCGAAATTGGACCTACTACTACAATAGCTAGCCGGCTGTGCAGATTGTGTGCGAGAGGTGGAAAAGGGGCGGAACTCGAAGACGCTTTGCGAAAATATGTGTGATGCCTCATCGGCGACAAGGAGATAGGCTTTCGGAAGGAACACCAGGCCCGCGTACGCTTCCTTGGCGCAGCGTGGCTGTTTGCTCTGCAAAGGATCAAGAAGAGCGTCCTTCGAAGCACGTGAATACGCTTTCAAATACGACTCCATAACGTGACTCACTTTCAAGTTCTTTGAATGCTGTCATGTGCTCTTCTGCAACACGTTTGTATCGTTCAACCGCTGCGAAAGGTGGACGCGATCAGACAACCATCAATCTCATATCGCAATCCTCGTCTGCACTTACCTTTCTGAAGCGACATGATCAACCCCGACTCAACTCCCTGCTCTTCGCATAGCGCCACGTACGCTTCCTTCAACGAGTTGAGCTCCTCATTAGAGGCACGCAGATGCAAATTCTCATCGCGAAGCTGTTGCAGCTTTGCCCGAGCTTCGTTGGTCTCCTCTGAAGCAGTATGCAGCTCCTGCCTGAATCTCCGCCGGGAAGCTTCGAGGAGGTCGCTGACATCAGAGCTCTGGCCCTGAAGTAGTCGAGTTTCAAGCGCCTCGAGCTCAGATTCCAAGAACTGTATGTGCTCATCTCGGGCCTCGACCATTCCTTGAACTTCGCGCGTCGATGCCTCCGCTTCCTGCAGCGCGAGTCTGGAGGACCGCTCCGCAGCGTGCGCCCTCTCCGCTGCGTCTCTGGCTTCAGCAGCGGACTGATTGAGAGACGCGACATTGATCTGGTGCTCTTGCCACTGCCGCTCTAAGCGCGCCTTCTCAGTTGCATCGTCCTTTCTCATCTGGACCTCTCTGTCTAGGCGCTGCTTGGCGTCTGTGAGCTGCGCCTCGAGAGCAGCCTGCGTCCTTTGCGAAGCGGCAGCAGCCTCGGTATTTGAGAACTTCAGTGACGCAGCTCCGGGTCCTCCAAAGTCAAGAGAGGCACGCTTAGCGCTGACTGGTGTGACCGTCGAGCCGTTGCGGGGCGCTGCGCTGTTGTACTCGTAGTATGCGCGGGAGCTGGACACAGCGCCGCCCGTGTTGGAGCCGCGCAACGATGCGCCATTGCCTGTGCTAGTGCCATTGAATTTGTGACTCCGAAGAGCCTCCCCTTTGGCCACCATGTCTTGCTGCAGCTCCTCGGAGCCAGCTTGCAGTTCAGCAAGTAGCTGCTTCCTGAAAGCGTCGCTAGCTCCACTGCCTCCTTGGCGAGCCAGGTTGGACAATTGCTGCAAGGTGTTGCCTCGAGCATTCTGAGAGCCGGCCAGATCTCTGTGCATCCGGAAAGTGCCAAATTAGTCATCCATTTCTTAGACATGAGCGATTGGACGACTTCACTCACCTTTCCAACGCTGCGATGCGGCTTTCGTATTGCGCCCGACTTCGGCTCACAGCTTCATCGAGCTGAAGGTCCTTGCGACGCGAATCTGACTGTGCGCTATCGCGCTCCCTTCGAGCAGCAGTCAGCTCCCGCTGCAAGTCGGCGACCTTGGTCTCCAGCGAGCGAACAGCTCGGGTGTCACTGCTCGTAGGGGCTGTGGAACCACTAGCACCGACGTTCTTCATGGTCGTGACGCCGCTTGAGCCAACATTCTTCATGACGGCACGATCGGCCTGCTGAAGCCGTGCCACCTCTCTTGTGAGATCTTCATTGTCCGTCAAGAGCCTGGTCTTGCTCTTCTCCAGGGTCTTGGTGTAGTGAGCAAGCTCCTGCAGCTTGCTTTGGGCTTCAGCAAGTTGCCTGTCTGTGTACTTCTTAGCCTCCTCCAGAACGTGGACGTGCTCGACGATGGTCTTGTTCGTCATGGACTGCGCAGTCTTGAGCTCCGCTTGCGTACCCTTGAGGGTTTCACGCAGGCTTTGGAGCTCCTGATCTTTCGCACCATGTTGTTGTTGAAGCACGCCAATATTCCGCTCGTGCTGGCGTGAAGAGCTCTCCAGCAGCTCTCTTCGTTTCGACTCTGCAGAGAGTTCCACGGCTGCCTGATCGGCCTTTGCCTTCCAAGCTGCTTGTCCACGCTCGAGCTCCAGCATGGCATCTTCAAAGTCTCTAGCTTTCGCAGCTGCACCACTGACTCGGGCCAGTGCTTCTTGCAGAGCTCGGTCCGAATCCGCCTGCGATCTCTCGAGCGCCGCGATGCGATCTCTCGCTCCTTGCAGATCGCCATCGGCGGCACGTTGAGCTTTTTCGGCCGCAGCTACGAGAGATTTGTTCTGCACGAGGGCTCGCTCTGACTGGTCGGCCTTCTGAGCCAAGTCATCTCTTACCCGAGAAAGGTTGGAATGCTCCTGCCGCAGCTCCTCCAGGCTGACACGTAGCGCTGCAACTCGCTCATTGCTAGTGTGCTCCGCATCTGCATGTTGTTTTTGCAATTGGGCGAGCTCAGATCTAAGGCTTTGCAGCTCTTGTTCCTTCAGTCGGTGCAGCTCTCGTTGCTTGGTATCTTCAGACGTCTTGGCGTCCATCAAACGACGAGTCTCATCGAGCTCCTTTTGCAGCTGCGAGCGCAAGTCGGCGGCTCGCCCTCCATCGGCTTGTGCAGCCTTCAATTCTTGCTCAAGCGTCTCCTGAGCAACCTTGAGCTCGCCAAGCTGACGGGTCAGCGCGTCGCGTTCGCGGGTTAGCGTCGTCACCGAGTTCATGAGCTCTGCTAGTTCACTGCTCTGCTTGACTAGCTTCGCTTGTAAATCTGCGGCGCCGGCAGTCGCTTCCGCAAGTTCCCGCGCAGAGGTCCTGCCGTGATTCTCTAGCTCCACGCTCTTGGCTTCGTGTTGCTGCCGCACTTTGGTCTCCTCCGCGAGCCGCAGCTCGACGGCAGCTACCGCTTCATTCATGCGTTTCTGAATACGCTCAAGATCTTGATCTTTCTCGAGGATCTTCCGCTTGAGGTCTGCACTTTCGCTACTCAGGGACGATCGTTCTTGTTGCAGCTGCGTCAGCTCGCCAGCATGTCGAGTCGCTTCGGCGGTTATCTGAGCTTCGCGATCTTTGCCAGCATTCTGCTCTTGCTCCAGTCTGAGGATCTGGGCAGTGGCTGTGCCGAGCGCTGCTTGCAGCTCGGCGCAACTGACTTCCGAGGCCTTCTGCGATGCGAGAGCTCGTTCTACTTGGCTGTCCAACTGGTCGAGCTCGGACTGCATGGTAGCAAGCTCTTCCTCCAGCGCCGACTCGCGCTCTTTTGATCGAGCCAAGAGTTGGTCCTTCTCTGCTAGAAGGGAGCGCTCAGCCTCTAAAGCGTCTTCTACCTTCTTCTTGTCCGCCTCGAGGGTGTGCTTGAGTGACTCTAGCGCTTCTCTTTCTCTTTGATCTCGCTCCGCCCGCTCTTTGACCATGGCGAGCTCGAGTTGCTTGCGCTTCAACTCTTCGTCATGCCTGGTGCCAGTCAGCAGTGGCCTGACCTTGGTGTAGACCTGCCACCACGGCCATTCGCGCAGCTGCACGTAGAGTCTCGCATTGCGCTGGATCGTGCGCACGGCGGCAGCCCGATTGAGGATCTTCTTCATCTGCCGACGAGCCGTGAACATTCGACATGCGCCTTGGAACCTCGAGAAGATATCAAACAACAGCGCATCGCGTCTCTCTTCCAAATCAGCCAGAACGCCAGCCTTGAAGAAGATTTTCGTCAAGCCGACTTTGAAGAGTGAACGGTCGAGCTCGAGTGCCTCCACCATCCTTTGGCATGCCTTGCGTCCGTCCATATAGCCACGAGGGATGATGCCTGGCGTCAGGACCTCGTATCGATTGCGGAATTCCGTGAAAAGCAGGCGATTGGGGTAGCCGAGTCGGGCGATACGGATGCCTTCAAGAACGCCATTGCACCTGAGCTGCTCGAGGACTAAGGGTACGTCCATCTTGCCGGGTTTCTTCTCGTGATTCGGCACAATGCATCGCACGAAATGAGGCTGCGTAGACGAGAGTTGACCCATGAGAGATGTCAGCTGCTCTTTGTGTCGCTGCGCTACCGTCCGGAAAGCTCCCTTCCTTATGCGCCGCTTGGGACCGCCAATGACTGGGGTACCTGCGCTTTGAGGTTGGGCGGCTGGCGCATCATCGCTTGCAAATTCGCTGAACAATGTAGCAATGTAGCGATCACTCGATTCCGACATGACTCTGGTAAGGTTGTCGTTGAGAGGATCCTTGTTGCGCTCTAGCCAGCCAGCAGTCCGATACTCGACATCGCCAGCGTAGTGCTTCACTGTGAAGCCTTGGCCGAAGCGTGAAGAGGCGAACTTCGTGGATCCATGTGCCACACCTCTCTCGGTTGCCCAGGCCTGCCCTGCCGTGTCCTTGGCTGTGCCGTCTTTGTTGGTTGCCCAAATGCGGTTGAGTTTTTCTGTGAAGGTGGTGTCCGTGGCCTTCGGCATGATGCACTCTTCATCGAGACACGACAGGATGCCGATTGGACTTGTTGCCTCGATCAAGTCGATGGTGGGCTGCAAATCAAGGCCAAAGTTCACAAAGTCCCATTCGATGGCCTCTCTTGCGTACTCTTCTTGTTCCAAGACGAACATGTGGTGGTTGAAGAATTGTTGTCTGGGATGCCAAAATCGTGGGGTAAGCGTCAGACCATCACGAGGAGCGAAGCGACTCAAGCCAAACTCACAGCTTCTCGTTTGTGAAGTTGATAAGAAGCTGCTCAAATGAATTGACCTCGAAGATTTCGAAGCCGGCAATGTCGAGCACTCCGATGAATGTGCTCTTGGATGTAGGCCGATCCAACGCTTGATTGATGCGATCCACAATGGTTCCAAACATCTTCTCGTACATTGTCTTGCAAAGTGCAGCCATTTCGTCCTGCACCTGTTGTCTCGTACGGGCCTGAGCAACCCATTCGCGCCCAGCTTTGATTCTAGGTCTGACAAGTGCGGTTGTAAGCTCCTGCACGGGTACACCGAGCAGATGACAAGCCTTTTCGACCTGTGCGCCATTTGTGATACGGGCCTGCTCAGATCGGTCATCAGCAAGCTCAATGTTGCCGATCTGAAGGATGGAAGCGATCACTTTGAAGAGGTTGTGTTGCTCCTCCGAAGCGAAGCCTACCATCGATAATGCTTCGATCAGCGCCTGCCACTCTGATGTGTCATCGACTCCCTCGACATGCTTGCGCGAAGCTTTGAGATAGGCGTAATCCTCTGGCGATGATGTAAGCAAAAGGGCCTCTACAGCAGCCAGAAAGAAACGCGTGTCAACTGGCTGATTCTGACGTCATGTAAGAAAAGCGAAACATACTTTTAAGCCCCTCGTCTCTGCTGCGCAAGATCTGATAGAAGATGTGGAAGCTTCGCTCCTTGTCGCTTCGCGTCGTCACTCGACTCTTCTCGAGCAAGTACCAGTCGATGTTGGCACCAGCAATAGCTCCTACGCTTGTGAATTCTATCCTCACAAACTTGCCCTTGTGGCGCAAGCAGCGTCCATGCTCTGGTGTCAATACACGTACAGGACGTTGGAGGACTAAAACGGCATACACTCACGAATCGTGAAGAGTTGTTGTTACGGATTGTTTGCGCGTTTCCGAAGGCCTCTAGAATTGGGTTGGCTTGCAGAATTTGGCGCTCCAACAAGCCGAGTCGCTTAGAAGCCAGAGCCTCCACGCCTCGCAGCTGATCCAACACATGGCGAGAGCTGTGACTCCGCACGATACTGCCAGTACGCTGTGCACCGGGCTCAGCTAAGGGAGAGCCGATGCCAGCAGCCTCGTCGCCAGTCAGCCCACCAGTAGGATCCGCCGCGACGGCTGCGAGATATTGAATGACCTTCTTTGTGTTCTCGGTCTTTCCGGCACCAGACTCTCCGCTGATTGGGGTACCTCGGACAAATCAGTCGACTATCAAGACGCGCACACCGGCCAAGTGACCCAGACACTCACGTCACCAACAGCGACTGATTTTCGCGCATCTCTAGCATGTTCCTCATGGCCCCATCTGCCAACGCGAACACATGCGGCGCGTTCTCCTCCCTCCTCCTGCCTTTATAGGCTGCGATGATGGCATCCGTGTAGATGGGCAAATTGCGGTAAGGATTGACTGCAACCAAGAACAATCCGGAATATGTCTGAGGAGACTTGCTGGGTTAGCTTGCGATGCATTGCACGTTTCTCAAAAGGCAAAGGATCCGGCGCACTCACGTAGATGAGACCGCTGTAGTATCGCTCTTTCAGATTGTGCACCACAGAAGCTTCATTCAAAAATGTCAAGTCTGCGATGTCTTCTGCCTTTTCGAATTTGGGTGGGTTCATCTTGCTAAGGTCGTCCGTCGCCACGTTTCGCGACTTTGAGTGGAAAGGCATCCCTTGTAAGACGCACCACAAGCGCATGTGCCTTGCATTGATCGCTCTTTGACGGTCACTCACCGATCCATCTGCCAGACTGCAGACGCTTGTTTCGCCATTGTTCTCCTCCCTCACGACCCAAGCTGATAAGTACCCCGCCGCCTTGTCAGGGATCCAGACATATCTCCTCGAAGCAAATTCAGCGGCTGCTGCCGCATCACTGGCGGCTGCCGTGGAAGCCATCGTGAGCACCCTAGATTGCTGTGATCAGCCCTGCCAAAGCTTGCAAGGTTGTAGTGGACGGTGATAGCTGAGTGTTCCTCGCCCTCCTGTGGATGCCAGCAAGAGACGACAGTCGAGGCGACAATCACGGCGAGATTGTGAGGTTGCACAGTGAGGAGCAAAGATTCCCTTCTGAATGGCTCGTAGTAGTGGACGTAAGCGAGATGAGGGATGTGGAGCTGAGATCGGATCCCAACAGCCCTTGACTGCGGTATCCTTCAAATTAGATGTGGCCGCACGAGTCGTTAATGATGTTAACTGGCCCTGCTACACGCGTTGTTCGCCGTGCCCGCGCGGACGTGCTTGTTTGACGGTTGTGATGCCGCGAGTGCGCGGACCAACCCACGTCAGGAGCTGTTTCGCCTGTTTGTATTGGATTGAGACGCGGGCCGCGCTCGAGCCCAGCTGATGCAGCAGGCAAGCACTGCAAGCATGCATGCGCATGAACGCGACCTCAGGGGTCCACTCATCACGTGTGTAATTTCCCCCAGCGCCTCAGCCTCAACCTGAACGCAACGTGAACGGAACGGGTGTCTGCTGTTGCGTCCCGTGCATTCTTCTTCTGATTAAGGTCTCAAGTCGAGTCTGGATCAAAAAGACGTTACCCGCCCTTGGCTTCCTAGGGAAGGCAATCACGTGAATGACGAGAACGAGAGCAATGGCCAGTCGAGGCCGCGTATCGTGGTGCACTCTCACTCTTGACGCGAGCACTTCGCGAGCGGAGAAGTGACACGTCGATCTTGACACTGAGTCACTAGTACCCGTCTGTCGACATTCTAGGAAGACGTGCCACGATGACCAACATGCTACAGAGACCCTCGCATCATCATCGCACACATCAGACCGCAAGAAGGATCAAAAAGGCGCATCTCATTTTGATGTCGTATCTCGTAACGGAAGGCAGACATGCGCGCTTGCCAGGTGTGTCAGTGAGCACGTAAGGGCCGAGGAAACGTGGGCGCCGAATTCTATTGAAGCACATCAGCCCACTTAGTCCAGAGCTTCGAGCTCAGAAGCGGCATTTGCATCGCCAGCCTTCTCCTCGACGGCGGGAGCGGACTCCTCTTCTGGTGTCTCTTCAATCGAAAGACCGAGAGCGATGAGGGAGTGAAGACGAGTGGCGAAAGATGCTGGGTCGCCCAGGCTAAATCCGGACGAGAGGAGAGCCACATCGTACAAGAGCCAGACGAGATCGCGAACGGTAGAGTCATTCTTGTCTTGAGCAACCTTGCTCTTCAACTCCTTGATAATGGCATTCTTGGGGTTGATTTCCAAGGTCTTCTTGCTGGCCATGTAGCCTGACATGGAAGAATCACGGAGGGCTTGAGATTTCATGATACGCTCCATGTTGGATGACCAGCCGAATGCACCGGTGACAATGACGCAGGGAGATCCGACCACACGGTTGGAAGGAGTCACCTTCTCGACGGAGTCGCCGAGAATCTCCTTGATGGCAGTGCAGAGGTCGGAAACGCCCTTGGCCTCCTCCTCACGAGTAGCTTTCTCCTCGTCAGTCTCCTCGAGCTCAAGACCTTCCTTCGAGACGCAAACCATCTTCTTGCCATCGAACTCCTTGAGTTGGGTGACGGCATACTCGTCGATGGGGTCTACCATGAGCAGAACCTCGAAGCCCTTCTTCTTGAGCACCTCGATGAAGGGAGAGTCCTTGACGGCGGCCAGAGACTCGCCGGTCAGGTAGTAGATGTTCTTTTGGATCTCGGGCATGCGAGTAATGTACTCCTTCAGGCTGGTGAGCTCGTCGCCGCTCTTGGTAGAGTGGAAGCGCAGGAACTCGGCGAGCTTGCTGCGGTTGGCGGCATCCTCGTGAATACCGAGCTTGATGTTCTTGCCAAAAGCCTCCCAGAACTTGTTGAAGTTGTCTTTGTCCTCGGCAATTTCGCTAAACATCTCGAGAGTCTTTTTGACAATGTTCTTGCGGATGACCTTGAGAATCTTGTTCTGCTGCAAGGTCTCACGAGAAATGTTGAGGGGCAGGTCCTCGGAGTCGACGATGCCCTTGACGAAGTTAAGATACTCGGGAATGAGGTCCTCACAGTCGTCCATGATAAAGACACGGCGGACGTAGAGCTTGATGTTGTTGCGCTTCTTCTTTGTCTCGAAAAGATCAAAAGGTGCGCGCTTGGGAACGTACAGCAATGCCTTGAACTCGAGCTGACCCTCAACGCTAAAATGCTTGACAGCGAGATGGTCCTCCCAGTCGTTCGACATCGACTTGTAAAACGCTCCGTACTCTTCAGGAGTGATTGTCTGGTGGTCGCGAGTCCAGATGGGCTTGGTCTTGTTGAGCTCCTCGTTGGTTGTCTGTTGCTTCTTGACCTTCTTCTTCTCTTTCTTCTTGGCATCCTCGTCATCAACTTCCTCAATCTTTGTCTTTTGTTCGCCGTCCTCTTCCTCCTCCTCCTCAACTTCCTCCTCAACCTCCTTGGTCACAGCAAGCTGAATGGGGTAAGAAATGAACTCGGAGTGCTTCTTAATTACATCCTTGATTCTTTTCTCTTCGAGATACTCCTTCTGGTCCTCCTTGAGGAAAAGTCTGATTTCAGTGCCGCGGCCAAGGGAAGGGTTCTCTGTGTCGGGCCTGATGGTGAATGTACCTCCAGCGGATGACTCCCAGATGTACTGCTCGTCGTCGTTGTGTTTTGTAATGACCTGCATGGTGTCTGCCACCAAGTAGGCGCTGTAGAAGCCGACACCAAACTGTCCAATCATGCTAATGTCCGCACCAGAAGACAGGGCCTCCATGAATGCCTTTGTTCCAGACTTGGCAATCGTTCCAAGGTTGTTGACTGCGCACGTAGGTGATTGGCATTAGCCACGGCTTGGGGATCTGCAAACGAGGAGGAGAATGGCTTACCAAGGTCTGCCTTTGTCATTCCGATACCAGTGTCGCGGATAGCAAGCATACCAGCCTCTTTGTGTGGGGTTATGCGGATGTACAGCTCCTTCTCGCTGTCGAGCACGCTGGGGTCGGTCAATGAAGCATATCGAACCTTATCCAAAGCGTCAGATGCGTTGGAGATGGCTTCTCTCAAGAAGATCTGGCCGTTGCGAAACGTGGCACGACGATGAATCAGTCATGATGTTGGAGCACAGGTGCAAAACGCGCTGTTTAACGAACTCACCTCCTTGGTCTGGTACAGTGTGTTGCACACCAGATCCAAAAGGGCCGTGGTGTCGGCGGCGAAGCCGAAGGTCTCTGGGGCAGCGGCGGCCATGTTGGTTACTTTTGTGTATGAGAGTCGAGGAAAAGAAGCGCGTGTATGCAATGCAAGACTTGCGCGACTGTTCAGGGTGGTATGCTCGAGCGTAGCAGTCTGTCTGATGCAGATGATGGTGGTGTTGAGCACTCGTGAATGGTGATTGGAGTTCCCATTCGCAGCCACAGCAAATTTAAGCTTGTGCTCGTCTTGCCTCCTACGCAGAGAAGTTGGTCTGGCCCTGCATCTGCAGCCTGGGCAGCACAAGGCTTCGGCGCGCTTCCACAAGCCCTCGCGTCCGTGCGGGCGCACCTCTTCTCCACAGCACGTCGCCCACGCAGCATGCTTCTCCAAGGCTCCAGAAGAAAAATTGCAGGTGACGGGAGTATCACGTGACAAGCCTTTCATCAGCACCATCCTTGATCGATGCAAGCTTGGTCTTTGCTTCCAGGGTCGAACGCCAGGCAAGAGATGCCTCTACAGTTGCCATTGATGATTGTGGCTGTGATTTGAACGATTGCTGTAATGCTTTTGAGAGCGATGAGGAATGGTTCGCATGATTGTATCCGCACGAAGCAGCCCAGGCTTCCGCCACGACAAATTGTGTTATGGCACAGCTGCTACTCGACAGTCAAACTGGAGCAGCTTCGCTGGGCCATCATCGCAAAGACCATCACCGAGATTTTAAAGTACGGGCGTTCACGTCGGCGCAGCTGGACAACAACCACACCCTGAAGGCGCGTCAAACTTAAGACTACATATTATCGCACATCAAGCTTGGAAAGAGAGTTGCATTGCAACTAGAGCTTCTTTCTATCTCTGTCCAAGGCGTGTCTTCGCGCATCTTCACGTTCCCTTATCCTGTGACGTGGATCGCGTTCCTGATGATATTTCGAGCTTGAAGCCTCACTTCGATCGGAACTTCTCTTGATCAAGCTATCTCTGACCGCTTCTGCCTTGGCACGCGCAGCTGCCGCTGCATCCGCTCCACTGCTGCGAGACTCGTGGCTTCCACTGCTCGACGCAAAATCTATCGACCTCGCCTTCCCAAGTGCTTGAGCCGCTTCGCGGTCTTCCTGTTGACGCCTCTGCATCTCGGCTGAAGGTGGATTCAAATAGCTTCTTGTAAGCCCCCGATAGTATCCTCGCCAAAGTGTAGCGCGCGTATCGCTCACCGAGCCGGTCTTTTCCACCTTCTCGAAGCATCGCACGCCTCTCCAGCTTTGTCGCTGCCCAAGTATTGGGTGCCATGTCTGGGTAGCGCGTCCCGCTCTCATCAACGTCGACCCATTTGACCAGCTTGTCAAATATATGTGGATTGCGCAGTTGGCGATTCCGGGCCAGCGAGACATTGAAATGAGTGCCCTGCGCTTTGAGTCCGTGAAAGGTTGCGAGCTTTTCCTGCAAGCGATGCCAATTTGCGATCACTGCGTCAGTACCGTTGTTCAGGTATGTCACTCTGCCGTGCTCGGCTCTCACCTGAGTAGCTAGATTCACGTCGCCTCGCGAAGGTAAGCCAAGCCCCCACTCATGGTCCTCCACACCATCCCGATCAACAAGCGGAGGCAGCGCCAAGAGACTGAGAAGAGCTTGTGAACCCGCTGCCACTCCGCCAGCCATCCGGGATGGCCCCGCACTACTTGTCTCGCTTGTCTGCTGCGGAGAGTCCGTGCGGGGCTCCGGCGAAAGCTCTTGCCTGAGAGACGAGGTCCCAACCTGCAATCTCGAAGCATGCGCATTCAACTTCTGCCGTGAGGGTGATGAGGCTGCGGGCGAGCCCGCGCGCTTGACCCCTAAAGACGTGCCTTTGGTGCTAGCGCTAGTTGCTTGTCCGGCACCATGCGGCGAAAGGAGCTGAGGTGTGCGTCGCTGGAGTGGCGATTGTGTAGCTGAACTTGTGCCCATCGAGGACGTGCTGGCGTCCTTGACTAACGAAGAGATCTGCAACAACATCGAGACTGGTCCGCGGGTCAGACAGTGAGGGGTCTGGATACATGCTACCTGTTGCTCAAACTTACCGGTATTCGGGCCGCATGGAAAGTAGAAGTGCCCAGAGAAATATCTGGAGTGGGTCTGGTACCCTGTGCGGGCCCAGTGTGTTTGGACTTGGCAGTGTTTTGGTGTGGGCTGCTGTCGCCACGTCCACTGCCGTCCGAGTCATCTGAGGAGTAGCCTGCCACGGCTGCGAATGCAAGTGCATTTGCGATTGGTCATTGTAGGCTTTCCCGCGATTCAAGTCTACGCTCACGTACTATTCATCGTCAAGAGCCTTTTGTCGAGCCAGCCTATCTCCACGCCTTTGGGATGCCCTCAGCTGTGTCCATGCTGCTCGAACCTCATTAGCTTGCGGTAAAGTCGCTGAAGGACGCAACAAGTCAAGAATCTGATGAGTGAAATAGTTTGGAAGTGCAACTCAAGACTGGCAATGTATCCTTCCAGTCGTGAGTAGCTGTCGTGAGGGAAGCCCCTTCTAGCGAGCTGGGTACTTACGACTGCAATCACGTGAATTTCTGATCACAATGTGATTCAAGATTGTGATCAGCCAGAATCTTGAATCCTGGATGGCCTGTGCAAAGGCGTGGTTCTCATCATGCATGGCGCAGGACATCCCGAATCCGTTTGCCTCGTGACATGGGCGCACGCGTCGACTATAACCACGTGGTTGATTGGGCCGGACCTCCACCAGCGCGGCCGTCAGCACCGTTCGCGACCCCTTGCGCACGGACACCCTGCGCAAAGTCCGGGCACGTCATTCACGGTTCGTGATTCCTCTGCGTTCTGGCGCTCCGACTCTCTGAAGAGCATCAGCTATAGAGGCGCCACATGCGCGTGCGGCGTGAGCACTCACAATCACGAATCATGAATGAGAGCACTCATCAGACTGAGATGTACGGTCCGGACCCACGCCTGCCTTCCACACCACTACCACCACCGAAATCGCATTGAACTCAAGCATACCCTCTCAGACACGCTGAAAGCACACACCATGTGTAAGTAACCTTCGCTCAATCGAGAGCGCGCTCTTCACGCGGAGCTGACGATGTGTTGCCTCTTCTACCCTGCCTGTTAGCGGAACACACTCTGCCCCAGCTCCCTTACGCATACAATGCTCTCGAGCCCGCCATCTCTGCACAGATTATGGAGATTCACCATTCCAAGCATCACCAGGCATACGTCACCAACCTGAACGCCGCCGAGAAGGCTTACGCCCAGGCTGCCAGCGCCTCGGACGTTCGCAAGCAGATTGAGATTCAATCTGCTATCAAGTTCAACGGAGGTGGTGAGTGCGGTGGAATGCTAGCTTTTCAGAGAGGCAAATGCGGGCTATGTATGAGTAACTTGCCAAGCTCACGCTTCACGCTTGGTCGCTACCCAGGACACCTTAACCACACCCTGTTCTGGAAGAACTTGGCCCCCTCCAGCCAGGGCGGAGGTCAACTCAAGGATGGTGCGTCAAAGCTGCAATCAGCTCGCACAACGCGCGTGCTAAACATGACGTTTTGTCTCTATAGGTGTTCTCAAGCAGGCTATCGACCGCGACTTTGGTTCGCTCGACAAGCTCAAGGAGCAGTTTAACAAGACCACTGCCGCCGTGCAGGGCTCCGGTTGGGGATGGCTTGGCTACAGCCCAACCACTCAGAAGCTCGAGGGTGAGTTTGACAGCAGGTATTGGACCAAGGAGGAAACAGCGGCATTCTTACTTTGCCATACTCGCCCCTGCGCCGCCTCGCAGTCGTGACCACCAAGGACCAGGACCCTCTGATCACCCACGCACCTCTGCTTGGCGTTGATGTTTGGGAGCATGCCTACTACCGTGAGTGATATCATTGCCCGTAGACTTTCCTCGAACTCCGCTGATCCTTGTGTACTCCCAAATACCATAGTCCAATACCAGGTTAGCCTCTCAGCGTCACCCCTCTCTCACCGCTCGCCCGCAGCTAGCTGACGGCTCCCTCTCGACCCACACAGAACTTGCGTCCTAAGTACCTTGAGGCCATCTGGTAAGTCCGGGGCTTCGCGGCACTGCTAGGTCGGTCGCTCACATCTGGATCGGCCGCGCAGGTCTGTCATCAACTTTGACGAGGCCGAGAAGCGTCTCAGCGAGGCCCAGAAGAAGGCTCAGCTTTGAGTTTTGTTTGCCAACCCCAAGTCATCCAAGCCGAATTTGTTGGTGCGATGAAATGAAAACGAGTTGAACGTCGTCTGCTGCTGTTGATTGAAATTCGTGAACCCACGTTCTCGTGCGTAAGCCTGCAGCTTGCCCAAGAGTCCAGGTGGCGGCGCAGCTAGCGGACAGACACATCTCAGCTCCTTGCGCTCAAGGTTAGGCATTGACTGCCTCCTCGCACTCCTACTTGACTAGACTTTGCAAGCTGCTGAGATCATAGCTCATCTCGTTGTGACGCATCATTCCAAAGTTTTTGGGTACAAAGATTGTCCGACAGCCAGCGTCGTAATGCTCGCGCTTCCACCTTACAAGGCTTGATGTCCTGCCTGAGCGAACCCAGGCTCTTTCGGAGCATCACAGATCTGCAAGGCGCGAACGGCGGAAGCTTGGCCTGCTCACGACTCAACGACAGACCTAGTGAAAAAGCTGTCTGGGCAGACTTTGACCCAACATGAAATGTCACGCACGCATATATACAGCTGTCCAACCCCCTTTCCAGAACTCACGACCCAAAGCAAAGGTTTGCGAGATGGCTTGGTCACGCAAGCTACAACCGACCTGGGTTCGTCACGGATGGACTCGCGACAACGACAGTCACGAGTCTGGAGCGATGTCTGGCTTTGGCTCGATTTACTCACGACTATTCGTGATTGTAGCTGCGCTATAGATGTGGTTCTTACGACACCAGACTGGCATCGGCACGGTGAGCTTCCGTCATCAGCGCAAATTAAGGCATGTACTGCACA